ACCCTTAATATTATCCTGTCAAGGAGTTTGAACTATGTAGTAGGCAAAGGGGGCAGATGAGAGTTTGGTTTGAGGCAGGGCATAATATGATGAGATTGTATTTGAAGAAAATAATTATGATGGAAAAAGTAGAGGTAGAGGGAGACCATTTAGAAGGCAATTTTTCCTACTATGTAATAGTGTAAGAAAGAGTGACAGACTGAACAGGAGAAAGACAAGAAGCACAGAAGAGCCACTGGGGCCCAGTTAGGGGCAGAATCAATATGACTTAAGAAAAATAAAGGAAGAAAAAGAAATAATGATAACCTCAAGTTTTCTGTTTTGAGTAATTCAAAGGCTAACATTCCTTTAACTGAGACAGGAGACACAAAAACAAGAAATATTTATTTAGAGGTAGTAAGATGATAAATTTAGCTTGGGTCATGTTGAGATTGAGATGGCAAGAAGACTTATTTGGGGGAGATTCTGTAACTCTGTTGCTAATAAAAGTTTGATGCTTGGCCAAAGAGATCAAGTCTACAGGTGTAGATTTGGAAATCAGTTTAGCTGAGGTGGTTGAGCTAATGAGTGAAATCAAGAAGTGCTAGGCAAATAGAGGGGAAGAAAGGACAAAACTTGTGAAATTTCTACAATTAACAAGTTGACAGAAAAGTGGAGCAAATGAAGAAAATCAAAATAACCAGGAATCAATGAATAAGAGAAGATCTCTGGAAAACACTTCTTTACAGGTATAAGACACTGGTTTTCATCCTAGTGTTTCAAATAATTTTAGTTAACTTGCCTGACCATCAACTTTTCTCATCTGAAACACATAAACCACAAACATGAGTTTTAAAAATTAGTGAACATGAAAGTGCTTTGGTAAACCATCAGACGCTTTGCAAGTCTTACGTCTTATGATTATTGTCACATAAGAAAATGGAGAGTCCCAAAAAGGGAAAGAGTGTAGTGTCAGATGCTACAGAGTTTCAGAAGAATATTTATTTCTAGCCCAAATTGTTTGGCTTATAATTTAAGGAAATTACGTCAAAGAATGAAATCTGTTCTCTAATCACTTAGAACAGTATTTACCAAAGTAATGGGCATGGGACCTTGGTAGCACAGGAGACAATTTTAGATTTCACACAGACATGAAATAGAACTGAATCACACTGTGAGAAAGTTAGTCTCCTTTTGGTTTCTCTTTTAATCACTCCTTTTGTTTCTCTTTTAATTTTTGTTTTATTCCATAATTCTGATTTTTATTAAAGGGATAAAGTCTCAGGGCAAAGAAGTCTTTAACACTAGCTAATCACCCTTTTCAATAAATTTCTTCAGGTTGTCAATAATATCTAGCTAGAATTTATATCATACGAACTTCAAGATTACTAGCTACAATACCTTCTTATTTTGCAGTTGATACCAGTTTTCCAATTATGGTAGTGACATAAAGTTTTCTTTTAAAATAAGTTTTTTAAATAAAAAGATAATCACTTTTTAAAATATTAAGTATGTGATTGTATAGGTGGTATGTAGATATGACAAAACTAAGAAAGTGATAGTCCAATGATAAAAGTTCGAAAAACAGACTAGCCCTCCCTCCTTCTGTTGCTTTGAATGGCTGCCTTGGGTTCAACCAGGCTGGAATAATGTGTGAAACGTATTTTGTGATTCGTGGGTCCTGAGTTCTACACCCTAGATCTAGACCTTGTCCTTCCTCTAGGATGTTGGGTCAATTTTCAGAGCCACCAGACATTTCTAGATTTTTGTGTCCTTAGCTGTCAAATAAGAAGATTAGCTTTAAACTATCACTAACATTCCTTCCAGCAATAAATTCTACAGTTCTTTGAGTGATTAGTAAATAAGCCAGTGCTTTCAAATTGATCAAAGTTAGCTAAAATGTTTTTCCTCCATAAGCATCAATATCATGTGTCAGTGCTAGAGATTCTTCCCAGACTAATACGCACAGCTAGGAAAACATCAACAAATTTATTCTCTAATTATGATTCAGATTCTACCTCATCTGTGAAGGATTGTTGTTTAGAAGGAATTTCTGCTTTAGTTAGGGCAATTAATTAAAATTGAAAATGAAATTGTAAATGAAAATTTGTTTGCATTTCCTGAGCCTAACGCTTTATGCTAAAGCCTCACTCTCAGTCTGTAGTTTCATTGCAGTCATATCTAATCAATTTATAAAGCCCATGAATTTTGTTCCTCGGTATAGCAACTCATACATATTAAGTCCCTATACTTAAAAAGAATCTTCATCCATCTATTTACTAATATCTTTCCATCTTTTAAAATTTATTTCCCCTGAGAACAAGGAGTGCAGGTGAAGTGTTAACTGGCTGAAAGTTCTCATCAGTATTATTGTGAGTTAATGGCACTCTATATCCCAAGTACACGTTAAAATTAGAAGTATACCTTCTATTTGAAATATAACAACATGGATCATCCTTTACCAAAAGCATGGCAAAGAACCAGGCAATAAATGAAAAATGGAGACAGCATGGGTACAGAAAACACACACACAGTCCTTGGATCAGAAAAAAACTGAGTTTGTTACTACCTTTAAAAAGTTTCCATATGAACAATTTTTTCTCTATGATTACAAAGGAAGTGTTTGTCCCGTGACTTTTTTGAACTGCATCAGTGTTACCTTTTGCTGTAACTTGCTGTGACAAGGGTAAAGTTGCTTATGCAAGCAACTTAATTTTAAGATTCTGTTTTCTCACCTGAAAAAAAAGGATAAAAATACAGTCATTGTTCTGACCCATTAGTGTTTGTATGTAAAATATCCAGCAATGTGGTAGCTACCTCCTGGGTACTCAACAAGTGTTAGTTCCCAACATTGCAGTAACAGTGTCTCAAAAATTAACATGCTCTTGATTTGGGGAAGATCATCTTTCACTGCCCTTCAGAGCCTCTTTCTTATCTTGTTCTCTCTATATTATTAAACTCGATTTCCTGATCTCCATGCTTACAGATTACACGAGCAAATCAGAAGGTGCTAAGAACAACAGGAAAAAAAAAAAAAAAGACAAAGAAGCAGAATAAAAGAGAAATAATTTCAAAATCTTAGAAACCTGGAGCCATTTAGTACAGGGATAAATAGCTCTTCATGCCTCAACAGTCATTCAGAGCTTTTTTATATTACAGCAAGATAGAATATAGGGTATTCTAAATGATGATCTTGATTTACCAAGAGTAAGTTAAATTATACACACTTTGCTTATTTTAAAAAGCATACAATGCATTTTGGAAGAATTAACAATATGAATAGAACTTTTTAAATAATTTTAACTTTTATTTTAGATTTAGGGGGTACAAGCGCAGGTTTGTAACGTGGGTATATTGATGTTGAGGTTTGGGATACGAATGACCCTGTCATCCAGGTAGTGAGCAATGTACAGATAGTTTTTCAATCTTTGTTCCTTTCCTTCCTTCCCCACTCTAGGAGTCCCCAGTGTCTGTAGTTGCCATGTTTATGTCCATGAGTACCTCCCACTTAGCTCCTACTTATAAGTGAGAACATGCAGTATTTGGTTTTCTGTTCCTGTGTAGAACAAAATTTTAAGAAACCTTTTTGTGTGTTTTGTTGGGTAAAACCTTAGCCTTTGAAAACACTAAGCCATGGAGATGAACTCAGTCTTCAGGGATTCCACATAAGCATGGTCTTACTGAAATATCTTTTGTGCATCTTCAGCAAATAAGCCAAGGCTCCATGTATTCTATGGAAGAGGATAAGGCATTTGTAATTGCTAAGTTAAAATGGTTTTATGCAGATATGACTTTTTCTTTATTTCAGAAAGCAACATTTGATATAAATTACTTGTGGGCTTTAGCAGTAACAACTTTCTCAAATTATTTTCCCTAGGACTTGGTGTTAGAACGGTTTATCCAGTTGGGGGACCCACGGGCTGTATCCAGCCTCTCATGGTGTTATCTGTGATTCTCTGGGAAAAACACTTGAACTGGGCCTGGTTTGCACATTGAAATAAGGAGCCCTTTCTAAGTTATTCCCATGAGAGAACAGCACAAGCATGTAGTTTAAACTCATGTATACTGTATAAATTATCCACTGTATGCAGTGGACTCAATACCACAAATGTTGAGCTAACTGCATCTGAAAGGAGTCAAAGAGGACACTTGCAGAATCCCATAGAAAGAGAACATGTAGAATCCAGCACCATCAGAGGTCAACCAGTCAAATACCAGGGCTGGATTTTTCAAAGAACCAGATAATGCCAGTTTTATGGCCATTAATAACATTTTAGTTATGTAAACAAAGATAAGAGTAATAAAAAATAAATTCTGCTTCATAGTGTAATCTGATTGCCAACAGAGTTCAGAAATGAACTTTCTCATTGTGCACGTGGCGTTGCATAATGGACCAGTGATCATTCCGCAGCCTCCTCAGCCTTCCCTTTCCCTTTCCCTTTTATGGAGAGTCCTTAGTTCTGCCAGATCCATAAGCTATTCCAGGGAGGCAGATTGTTTTCTTTCTCCTGTTAAGCTCTTTGATTGTGCCTCTGGTAGTTAATATACCAAATGGTCTTCAGAGGTACTTCATACGTGCACACTGCAGCTAATCAGAGTGCCTTGGCCTACTGTTTCCCTACTTCTGTGTTTTCCACATGTTGACGGGCTCAGTTCAAACACCAGGCCTATCAACTTCTGGAGAGGCGTGGCAAAGCTCGGCTCTGATTTAGTCTGCTTCAGAGATTTTCCAAAGGATATCCTGTAGTAGATAAATCATTTCATTAGGCCAGGTTCCCTGTTCAAACCAGGAAGCAGAGGGCCGGCCATGTAGGCAAACCCAGATAATGTCGTTATGGCTGTACTCAGAGCATTTGTAAATATTGTTGTCAGTGTCTTTCATGCAGGTTCCATCAAGATTGGATTTAAACATAGACAGCTTAATTATGTGTTTTAAAGCTTTGTTTATGGAGAGCTGTTAGGAAGACTGTGAAGTTTTAAATATTGAAATGACAATTTTTCCCCCCAAATGTCTCCTCCAGTTGATCACTCCTCATGCCATCCGTGTGCAGACCCCTCCTCGGCACATCCCTGGTGTTGTGGAAGTCACACTGTCCTACAAATCTAAGCAGTTCTGCAAAGGAACACCAGGCAGATTCATTTACACAGGTAAGAACCATTGCAGATGGTGAGCACAGAACTGCCTTGGTCCTATGGGGTCTTTCCCCTTGTCTTCTATGTCTAAAAGCATATATTTTGTTTTAAAATCTAGTTAAAGTCTGCTTTCTTTCTTCATTTTACCATATGTATGAGCAAACATGGTGCTTTTATTATTGTATTAAGATTTCATCTAGGTGTCCATGCCGAATGGCAGGATCTGTTGAAATAACTAGTTGGATACCTAAAGATGCCACATGAAAAATAAGAGAAGGGGAAAAGAGGTGTAGATAATCCTGAGTTTCTGGATGTTAAGCCACTTTGTTAGGGTTTGTTTACTTTACGGAGTAGGGTTGTGCTTTCAGGAACAGTACGTCTTTCCTCTAGCCTGTTCACCGCATTTGTATTACATACAGTTGGTAGTTTTCATGTTTAATTCTGGGTTGGTGCCTTCTTTCCAAGTATGCTGCATTTTTATCCTCCCAAAACAGCCTTGGCACATGGATCCGCCTTGCGGCAAGAAACTGGGGTTTCAGAGTGAATGTGAATTCCCTCCCATCAGACAGACAGAACCAGGCAGCATCTCTGTGGAATCACATCAAGTATAAAGGCTGAATGCCCAATGTGTACTCTAAGAGATCCCTAGATTGTGAAGTGCAAACCAGACACCCAGGGATCTTTTACAATTCACATTCTGCTACAGTAAGTCTAGGCAGAACCTGAGATCCTGTGGTTCTTAAGAGCTCCCGGGTGAGGCTGATGCTGCTTGTCAAAGAACCACAGGTGCAGTGCAATTCTGGGTCCTCTGCTTAGTGTCAGTTATCCTTGGATAGTGGTAACTGTCTCCACGAACTGGTCCCAGGTTTCCTTTTCCATTCAGTAAAAGACCACAAGGCCAGACTACGTACAGAACGGAAGTTGCTTTCACACAAAGAGATAACAGAGCAGTGATGGGATAACAGTTGACAAATCGTAATTATAACAATACAATTAAATGGACGACTTTTATTTTTCTGTGACATTTTACTTCAGAGCATCTTTCCCTTGTATTTCAATATTAGGAGTAAAACCAAACGTACTTCTTAGTCACCCAGTTTCTCTCTCTCTCTCTCTCTCCCTTGAAATTATAAAAACAATTAATGCATCCTGACCCTTGGAAATGCCTCCCAGCCCTTTAAACAAAATGCAGGTTTGGTGCCTGCCTGACGATTAGTTTTAGTTAATTGAAAATTATAGGATTGACCCAAGAGGAAAATTTTGTTTGCACTCCAATCACTTTTACAAATTAAGGAAAATTACCGCAATTTTGTTTAGCTAAGGTTTCACACTGAGTTCAAGAAATTAGCTCAGCCATCCCAACAAAGTCAGCACTTTGTTAGTGAGCACTTGAAAAAATAATAGTCTATCTGGAGTTTTGTGGTGTATACAAACGAAGCATAGAGAAAGCTATGATGCTTTATAGAAGTAGGCCAAGTGTTTTTAATTAGGCTCATTGGTTCAGCATAAGTTTTGAAGAACAATCAAACTAGCAGATTAGCTGTTTCTTTTAAAGCTAGGATTTCTTGCCATTCATTTTTCCCATGAGAACTTCCACATAGCAGTGTGTGTGTGTGTGCGCGCGCGTGCGCGTGTGTGTGTGTTTTACAAGTCTCATTATGGGGCTGCAGGAAAAGGACCAATTGAAACTCCTGATACTGTAACATTCCCCAGCATCATTCCAATGGATGGGAGTTTTTCACAATGTTCCCCACTGAACTCGGTGTTCTGGAACATATTTCAAAACCACAGAGGCCAAATGTTTTCTCTGAGAAGTTTGGACTCTGTTTTTGGCCGAAAACATTAGGCCTCGCTGGCTGCTTATTTACTCAGCTATTAAGAACAAGAAAAGGAGAAGAAAAAGAAGAAAATGCTTGTGTGGTGGGAGGTACAGGAGGCAATCAGGCATGGTTTCCGCTTTGGTGACAACGTCCCTGCCCATTAATGGTTCCATTTTGTGGTCAGGTCTCATTTAGAAGAAATTATTTTTAATCAGTCTTCAACAAAATATCCCCTAGAGCCACCTGGCCATAAAAGTTAGAAAAAAAAAAAAAAAAAAAAAAAACCACCCTCATTAAATTACTTAAGTTCTCAAAAGAAAAGAGCTAGGGATCCATCAATATTTGGAGTTTTTTTAAACACTAAAAAAAAAAAAAAAAAAAAAAAAAAATTGCCATCAATTTAAGAAATCACATCTTAGAAAATCTATATCACACTGGAATTAAGATAAAAGTGTCAGATTTTCAAGTCTAGAAAAGTACTTAAGGATAAGAGCAATAAGTTGGCGCATATGCACGTGTGTACATCTGTGAGAAATTTAAGGTATGAAAAAATGCTTCTGGTGATCTGGCCTCAAACTGTGGGCACCAGATAAGAAACATTTTTTTTTTTTTTTTTAAAAGTATTCTAGGAGAGAGTTCTAACCTCTCCCCATATTGGAAAAATAAAAATCTGAAGAAATTGGCACAACGATTTCCCCTCTGGTATAGTTACTTGGCTGTTAACAGTTATTATGACATCACATCATTTCTAACGAAAGGGAATCTGTGTTCATTGGTGACCTATGCACGGACCTTTTGATCATTAGCATTAAATGCCTCCACCATGCGTTACTTGTTCATGGCTGGGGCTACTGGCCTCTGTGATTCACTCAGTTTACCTCTGCTGTCACCACTTACTAGTAAGGGTATAGAGATGGCTCATAAAACCTCTCTGTTCTTTGTATCCAAACAACTGCTCGGATCATTGTAAATGTACAGCACCCCTCCTTTGTCCACCCACAGAAGTTCACACTTCATTTTCTTTAACATCCATAGTATTTCAAGATGTGAGACTTGGTTTTCTGGATTGGGTGAGCTAACTCTCTTATTTCTTAGTGAAATATCACTTGGAATTTTTCCCTTGAAAAATATTATTGAGCTGAAAAGTAACACCTCAAACTAAGGCCTTATTGCTGTTTTAAAGTATGCAAGAGAGAGTTGGCATTTGTAGATATGAATGTCTCTAAAAGTCGATAACATTAAAAAGAAGAAAAAAGGCAGGAACAGCATGGCCTAATCTATACTAATAAAGGCAGACCTTTTGGGGAGGGAAGAATCTGACGAAGCACAGATTGCCTGCAAGCTGACTCCACTTGTAAGGATGGTAAGCCAGCATACATCTCTCCCTCATTGGTCCTTCAGACCAGAGACGCACGAGGAATCCACAGCTGCTAGTGTGCCATGCCCCTGTGTTTGTCCAATCAGAGTCACAGACTCTGGAAAGTAAATCCTGACTGGATTAGAAGCAGAAAAGCTCACTAGCACTTTCTAGATCTTACTTTATTGTGTCCAGTGATTCTTATGTAAATGTAGGGCAAGGCTGACTTTAATTTTCAATAAATGCTTTCTAAGAGAAGGAAATACAAATGCTATCTAATCACAGGATTGATTTCAAAGCACTATCATCGTTTCTGGTCAGTCAGCCCAGTGGGAATTAAATCCACTGTAACCTCACTGCCATGTAAGGGCTCTCCCTAATACCTTTATTATTCTCACAGCTTGTTTTCTTGAAGTTGTTATGTCTTTAAGTGACTTGGATCCTTTAGAATCGTGATCTCTCCTGCTAAGCCCTAAGTAGTTTTGGAAGCTAATAAAAGACTCTTAGGCACCTTTAGCTGCTTCCTCAAAGTTTTGTAGTTGGTTTTCCTGATGAGAAGTGGCCAATTTCAAATGCATGTTTTGCTTTCATTCTAGTTATTTTTCTGTAAGAGAGGTCTCTGTATCTTGGGGAATATATGATTGGAAGAATGGGCCACCAGGGCAAAGTCTGAGCAACCTAGGGGTACCCTGAGAGCTGTACACCACCTGACCCCCCAGAAGTTGGTGAAAACCCTGATGAATGATCATCTAACAACTCAGATGTCTGGTTAGGTCACTTATCAGATCTTTTCTACCACTAACTTCTCCAATTCTAAATATTTTTCACCCAATTTCCTGTTCCTGTGGAAGGACTAACCCACATTCCTGTGTATTCGTCTGTGAACTAACTTCAAAATGAGAATTCTTTGTGGAAATACTTCCTGTTTGTACCTTGTGCCCGAAATAACTCCACATCCCTTGCCAATGCATAACACATTGCTTTGCACATAGGAGGGGCTATTTTGTCTGCATATGCTCTGTGGAACTTGACAGCTTTTACTATGACTTTTAAGTTTTCCGTTTCTTTCTCCCTATCCCTCTTATTTTCTTGTTGCTCTCCCATCTCTCCTATCTCCTTTTCTCCTTCCTCTCTCTTTTCTTTACTCCCCTTATCCTTTCCTCCCTCACTCCTAAGGGGATAGTACCTCGTGTACTGATTGAGTGCTTAGGTTCAAGATGATGGATATAGATCGAATTCTCAGATCTACCATTTACTAGAGAGGTTATCCTTGGGACATCATATGATGCCTCTAAACCACAGTCACCTTATCTTTATAAGGAAATAATAATATTACCTTGCTGGGGTTGTTTTTAGGATCAGGGAAACATATATAAAGTTTTAGGATCACGGAACTGTATTTAGCATGAGGCTAGATACTAGTAGTTTCCATTAATAAATGGTGCCCACTATGATTCATTCCTTTGTTTCTGAGCCCCTACCAGGAATAACTATTTTCCATGGATTGTTTATCATCCTTGTCCTCTTCCTAGAAATCTAAGAAATGTCTTTTGGGATTTTTAGTAACACAACTATAGGCATCAGTTTAAAGAAACAACACCCATCAACCCCAAATAAAGAGAGGAAAGTGTAAACAAAGTAGCAAGAAAAAGAAATGCATAAGTGTAAATGTAATAATTTGCTTAAAACAATTTTCGCAGGAATGCATCACACAGCTAATAAGTTATCTGGTGTTAACGTTTTTAGAGAACGACACATGCTTGTTCTCTTATTTCTATCTCAGCCCCTCCTCTGGAGGTCCTAGCAACAGGAGTACGGCCTATCACCAACTCTCTTCA